TCTTTGTTAGGCTTTGAAGATGAGGTGGGGGTTGTGTGTGGGGAGTGGTCTCTTAAGTACATTTTTTTTGTGGGAAATGGAGAGAAGCAATACTCCTTTGTATCTCCAATGACCACTCAGTTTTTCTGAGTGGTCCATTGTATCATATGTGAAAGCCCTCTGAAAAGGAATAGCTTTGGCATATTAGGAAGAGCACTAGATTTGGGGTAGAGGACCTGGGTTTGAATCCCAGTTCTGCCACTTTCTACCTTTGTGACTTCAGGCAAGTCACATAATTTCTAGGGACCAGAGTCTCTAAAAATGAGATGGAGTAAATTAGATGGTCTTTAGGACCCCATTTAGCTCTAAATCTGATACTCATAGGTCCCCTCTACCAAAAAACAAACAAAAACCTCTCAGCCTTCAGTCTGCTTGTGTGTTTGTATGTGTGTGTGTGTGTGTGTGTGTGTGTGTGTGTCTGTCTGTCTGTCTGTCTGTCTGTGAGAGAGAGAGAGAGAGAGAGAGAGAGAGAAAGAGTGTGTGTTAAGGCCAAATACAGAAATCTGCTCATTTTTTTTTCTAAGAAGGAAAGTTTTCTTGACAGTTCGAAGAAAACAATACCAGAAAAATGAACACTCACCAGGAAGCAACTCTCTCCCCAGAGATTTATATGAAGTCTCAGTCACAGACAGTTGTAATTTAGGTTTGAGGCCTCTATACATTTTATTTTATTTTTTCATTTTTCATTATTTTTGCGAAGCAATCAGGATTAAGTGACTTGCGCAGTGTCACACAGCTGGTAACTGTCAAGTGTCTGAGGCAGGATTTGAACTCAGGTCTTCCTGACTCTAACCACTATGCAACCTAGCTGCCCCCAGTGCACACTTAAGAAAAAGAAAAACTCACCTCCCTCCTTTCCCCAACTATTTTTCAGTTTACTATTTCCCATGGTGGGGATGGGGTCAAGGGAGGGTGGAAAATCTGCTTTCTACCAAGGACATTTGAAGAGTTGAATAGTTTCTCTGAATAGAGTCTATTAATGGAATATGCCCACATTTACTTTAAAAAATTCTGTGAAAGAAAAACAATTGTTAATTTAAAAAATACCTTTATTGAATTAACAGTGAATTGAGTGAAAATATTGTTTAGAAAATCAAGCCCTCTATTACCTTGTTTTTGAACATACTGTTTTCAAGACAATGAAAAGATTTTGAAAAAATAGCTTCACTGCTTTTCAGCCCTGCATCAAATTCTTCTTTAAGCTTAGGCAGGCCCCATCTGCCAGTTTGCAAATGGACAGTTTCTGCAGATGGCCTCAACATAAAAGGAAAGGAGATTCAAACACAGACATATGTGTCCCCAGGCAGAAGAATTTATATAAACTCCAGAGAAAACTGATTATTTATTTGAAAAATGATTTGCTGAGATAAGGGTTGGGGAGTAGAGTGGAGAATAGCTATCCTTTTTTATTCTGTTTTTCCCAGCAGGTATTAAATGTGCTCTACACAAAGCATAGTGGGAAGATGGGGAAGACAGCTTCTGATGATGTTTGCCTCAAATACCACCCCCTCCAATAGATAATCAACAGAAAAGCAGATTTTGATTCAATAGAAAGAAAATCTTTCTAACTAGAGTTTCCAAACATTGAATGGATTGTCTTGGGCTATAAGAGACTCCCAATCACTGGTGGTCTTCAAACACAGAATGGATGACCTCCTGCCAAGGATATTGTAGCAGACATTCCTGTTAGGTAGAGGTGGTATGGGTTGGATTTCAGGACTTTTGAGGTTCCTTCTAAATCTTAGCATCTTTGATTCAAAATATGCGGCTAATTACTAATTTATTAATATTTATTTGTTGGAAGGCATTATGGTGCAGTGGAATGAATCTTGGGTTGAAGTCAAGGACTTAATGTCTCTATGTTGGTTTCCTCACCTGTAACATGAGGGAGTTGAACTCAATAGCCATCAAAGTCCCTTTCACCTCCAAAATCTATGATTCTTTGATTTCATGATGTGAAAATCTTTTCACACCTTAGATACTTTTTCTGAGTTACTTTAGCTGGAAAAAAAAATCACCTGCTGGTAATGAGACTTTCCAAACTTAGCTGTATCTAAACTATAACACATTTGATTATTTTTTGGATTATTTATTTAAAATTTATTATTTCTTCTAAAGAGCACTATTATTAAAAAAAAAAAAACCAAAACCTTTTACAGAAGAGCAGCTTGGGCAGATCCAGAGTTAGTGTCTTTATTTCATTTTCCTTTTCATAAAAAAAGGATCTGCTCCCAAGATATATAAGGAAATGATTCAAATTTATAAAAATGAGCAATTTCTGGATTGATTAATGGTCAAAGGATAGGAAGAGGCAGGTTACAAAGTAAGACATACAAACTATCAACAGCCATATGAAAAATGCTCCCAATCACTAATAATTCTAGAAATGTAAATGAAAGCAGTTTTGAGGTCTCACCTTGTATTCATCCAAATGACAAAGTTGACCAAAGGGGAAAATGATACATGTTGAAGAGAATTCAGAAAATCGTTAATGCTTTGCATTAATGTACTTTTATGTACTGTCTAGTGGTCTAGCTGTTCTGAAAGCAATTTGAAACCTTGCACAAAAAACTATTAAACTGAGCATACCCTTTGACCCAGTGATTGTATGACTAGGTCTATACCTCAGAGAGGTCAAAGAAAGAGGAAAAGGACTCATGTATGTAAAAATATTTATAGCAGCTCTTTTTTGTGGTGGCAGAGAACTGGAAACTAAGGAAGTTCCCATCAATTGGGAAATGACTGCATAAGTTATGGTATAGGAATATGATGGAGTACTACTGTACCATAGGAAATGATGAAGGAGATGGTTTCAGAGAAACCTGGAAGACTTGTATGAATTGATGGAGAGTAAAGCATACAGAACAAGGAGCACAATTTATACAGTGACAACAATATAATAAAGACAAACAACTCTGAAAGATTTAAGAACTCCGCTCAATGCAGTGATCACCCATGATTCCAGAGAACTGATGATGAAAACCCAATGTACCCCCTGGCTGAGAGGTGATGAATTGAGGGTGCATGCATACGTATACTTTTTGAACATAGCCAGTGAATGAATTTGCTTGGCTTGGCTATGCATAGTTGTTAGAAGGATTTTATTTTTTTTCTTCCAGTGGGGAAGTAGAGAAAATAGATTTTTAATTGAAAAAAATGTTTAAAAATTAAAGCTAAAAAAAAGTAACCTGTTCAAATGATATTTTCTACCCAAAGGCATGGGGGTGGGGCAGAAAAACTGCCCATATGTTCTTATTTTGCCCTGACACAGAAAAGCAAAGTGTCTTACAATTTACTTAGATAAACGGAAATCTTTTAGCATTGAGATTTACAGATATGTGGATTTTTCATTATGTTCTTATAATCAGGAGCCTCAGAAATGATAATACAATTTATTAAGAGCTGACATTTATATAACATTTAAAATTTTGGGTTTTTAAAATTTTATTTCATTTTTTTAAACCAGCAGAAATCTACTTTCTCTCCCTTCCAGCCCACCCACCTTTCCAGTGGAGGTTGGGTGATATGGAACAATTTATCAGAAAAAAAGTGAGAGTGTTAGTGGACTACGAACCTCATGTGAGTCAACACTGACATGGCAGCCAAACAAATCTTCACGGGGACTTAGGCTGCCCTTAGTATTCAGACCAGGGAAGTCGGTAACACTTGTGCTCAGGCATAGACAGACTACGTAAAGTACTATATTCAAGCGTGGGTGCCACATTTTAAGGGAAGGCATTGCTAAACTAGAGGAAGCCCACCAGGATCATGGCACAGATAGATGCTCCTTCTACTCTCCTATCTGAATAGAGAGCAGCTCCTAGGTGATGCAGTGGATAGGGCACTGAACCTGGAATTGGAAAGACTGAGTTCAGATCCAGCCTTAGATGATACTAGCTGTGTGACCCTGGGCAAGTCACTTAAACAACTATCTCCTGGGGTCTTTGTGAGGATAAAATGGGGTAATATTTGTAAAGCACTTTGCAAATCTTAAAGTGCTGTGCGAACGCTAGCTTTTATTTATAAGACAAATTGGGATGGGATGTCAGGAAGAACTAACCAATTAGAGTGAATTAGAGCTAATACATCAAAGTAAGAAGGTAGAGTGGACTGCTTCACAAGGAGCAGGTTCTTCTTCATTAGATAGACATCTTCAGGCATCCTTTCTAAAGTACACCTGAGGGGCAGGTAGGTAGTACAGTGGACAGAGTACTGGGCCTAGAATTAGGAGGACCTGAGTTCAAATCTGTCCTCAGATACTTAACCCTGATTGCCTCAAAAAAAAAAGTATACCTGACAGAGGGCTGCTTAGCCTCTGTGGGAGAGGCAGTATGGGCTAGAGGCAAGAGCAATGAATTCGTAGTTAGAGGCTCAAATCCCAGCTTTGCTAAACTTACCACCTAGGTGACCTTGGACAAGTCACTTTAATAATAATAGCATTCATATAGCTGTGTGACCCCCACACACTTGACCTCTCTGGGACTCAGTTTCTTCGTCTTACAAAGTGAGAGGATTGGACTTCCTGACCTCTAAGTTTCCTTCCCTCTTTAAATCTTTCATCGTAGGGATTCTCTTGAGGAAAACGAGAATAGTAATATTTGTACTCTGTGACTCAGAGGGTAGTTTTGAGAAAAGGGCTTTGCAAACCTTAAAATACTAACATGAAGAGTTACTGCTCTCATTTGGCGTGTTGGACTCGTCAGGAAGAGCTGAGCTCAAATCCTCCCAGACACTTTTATTTAGACGTGTGACCCTGGAGAAGTCACTGAACCTTTCCCAGCCTCAGTTTCCTCCTCTGTAAAATGGGGATAATAGCATCTACTTCTTAGGGTTGCTAGCTCATTGCTACAGCATCCCATCCCTAAGGGTGAAGCAAACCGGAGTTGTAGGCGCGGCAGGGCCACGTGGCGGGGGGCTGGGCAAGCCAATAAGTTGAGACGAGGAGGAGCTAGTCGGGCTGACTGGTGGGAGGCTCGGTCACCTGCCACGGGAAGAGTAGAGGAGGGGCCGAAGATCGGGACCACGGAGGGGACAGGTGAGGGGGACAAGTGGACTGGCATGCTGTTGGGGCTGGGGTCTTTCAGGGACGACTCCTATTACTCCTTCTTACACTTCAGAGAAGGAGTTCTCTTAGATGTAAAGGGAAAAGATTGGGAAGGTGGGAATGTGTCATGTTTCTTCCCAGCTCAGCGACCTTACTTGCCCCATACACATCCCCTAGTCACTCTCATAGGGAGGAGGAGATGCCCCTGGCAGTCCCGAGATCTAGCCGGTAGATAGAAGGAGATGCGGGAGACGTCCCAGCATCGTCAGGGAGCGTGGTCTGGGGGGCTGCGCTTGTCCTCCAGGGATAGGGGCCGGGGGAAGCTAACGATAAGGGTGAGGGTAGGAGGGAAGCATCCTTGAACATTACAGACTCGGGGTCCCTGACTGTGCCTGAAAGACAAAACTGGATGAGATCTCGTGAGGAGTGAGCCCTGGAGTCCCAAGTAGAAATAGGATTGAGCATATAGTTTGGGGAAAGTCAGAATCTAATTTGGGACAAGGATGGAAGAGGGAAGGGAATCCTTCACACGTGGCTACCCCTCTCCTAAAAGTTGACGTTTTATCTAGGTTGCACTCCCCTATCCCTGGAGCCCCCTACTCAGAGCTGCTCCCAAGTCTTTCCCACTCCAAAGAGTAAACTCTTCTAGCTAGAATGTGAGCATCCTGGAGCTCAGGCACCTGTTTCCCCAAGAAGGATGCTCAGCACACCCAGCTACCAGTTAGACTGGTAAATTTCTCAACTTGTATCTCCCCATCATTAAGAAGCTGTGTGGCTTAGTACACGGAGAACTGGCCTCAGAGCCAGGACGACCTGGGTTTCAATCCCTTCTTTGACACATACTGATTGTTTGCCTTTAGGAAAGTCACTTACCCTCTGAGTTTTCCAGGCAACTCTAAGAATAGTTGCTGATCTGCCCGAGTAGAGGGCTTCCTTCTAGAGGGATCACCACACAGAAAGAACTACAGACCTGGAGGGGAAAAAAATCCTTCCTTCATTAAAATCATTGTCATTATTTCATTTTTATTGCTCAGATTCTTAACACTTTAAAGCTGGGGCACTATTCAATTGCATTATACCCTTTCCTATTTGGAGAGTCTAACCCCCAGGTTATGTGGCCAGTATTCTGATGTACTTAAGTTACAATGGAGGGCAGTGGTCCTTATTCCCACTTCACCATCTACCCTCAGGAGACAGCTTGTCTACCCTACTTAAGATTAGACTCCTCTTTAAACCAGCCCTTTCTTTTCCTCTTCCAAATCTCCTTCGAATTTTATCTTACCTCGCTGGGAAGTGAAGGTTGTCTTGAGCTCATGGAATACAAGGGCTATATACACCTGTTTGTATTTCCTTCAGGTGTTGTGAGTAGATATAAGAGAAATATAAGACACAGTTTCCTTTTTTTTAAGGAGTTAATTCGCTGTCTAGTTGGGGAGATGACTAGTGCCCGTGGAGTATTTAGAGAGCAAAGAAGACCAAATAGAATTAAACAATGAGGAACTGGACCATTAATCCATCCATCCATATATTTATTTAGCATCTATTGTGTGTCAGGCACTGTTAGGCAATGAGAATAAAATACAAAGAATAAGAAATCCTCACTTTTGAGGACCTTACATTCTTTTGGAAAAGTTAGCATGTACAGATATACATACATATACATTTATTTGTGTGTATGTGGTTGTGTATACACACACATATATTCAGTAGAGGGAATAGGAGAATGGTCAGAGAGGGCTTTGTGGAGAAGGTGAGATGATCATAGGATCATAGATTTGCACCTGGAAGAGACCTTAGACGTCATTTAATCCAGCCCTCTTATTTTACAGTGGAGGAAACTGAGGCCCAGAGGGTTTAGTGATTTGCCCAAGGTGACACAGTAAAGGCAGAGTTAGGTTTTAAACCGAGGTGTTCGGACTCCACATCTAATTCTCTTTCCATTGCACCGCATTACTCCCACGCTGGACTTTAAAGAAAAAGTATGTGGGAAAGCGTGAAGGATTTGGAGATGGGGGAGGGCATTAAGCATTAGCAAGGATATAGAGGGGTAAATCAGCGTAGTGTGTGGCGTGGTGTGGGGGGAGACAATGAGGACATTATCCTGACCCAGGACATTTACCCTTCAGACTGGCGTCTCTGCCCACCACTGGACATTTTGACCTCCAGACACTTATTCAGTAGAGGATGCCACAGGCTGCCCATGTTCAGGAGCTCTTCCATGAGGAAGCCCATCAGGTACAGGGGGAAAGTGAGGGGAACCTGAGGAAATGACTTCGGAGGGTTTTAGCCTTTTACTGGTCTTATGTGCTAATGGTCACCAGACAAAGGTGCTAAAAGAGAAATATTTGTGGTCAATTCAATTATTCATATGCAGATAGTCCTTTTGATTTATTTATGATAAATTTTTAGTCCTAAACCACCTTAAGTTTTTTTTGGGGGGTATTTCTTTGCTTTTACATGACCTTCATTTCTCAGTATCTTTCTCTCCCCCACCAAAGAGTCATCCATGATAACAAAAAATAAAAAAAGAGGGGAAAATAAAGCAGCTTAGCAAAATTACACAGCTATCAATCATATCTGACCATATCTGCAGTGTTCCACATCCATGGTCTCTTATTTCTGCAAAGAAGAGAGGACAGTGCTTTCTCATATCTCTTCTTTGGGGCTAGACTCAGTTGTTATAGAACAGCTAGGTGACGCAGAGGATAGAGTACTGGGCCTGGAGTCAGGAACCTGAACGCAAATGTGGCCTCAGATACTTACTAGCTATATGACTCTGGGCATATAGCTTAACCCTGTTTGCCTCAGTTTCCTCATCTGTAAAATGAGCTGGAGATGGAAGTGGCAAACCACTCCAATATCTTTGCCAAGAAGACCACAGATGGGGTCAGAAAGAGTCAGATATGAATGAAATGACTGAACAATAATCAGTCATTATAATTACACAGCATTCAGTTTTTTTTAAAAAAAGTTTGTATTGATATCTTTTTTTACACCATTTTTTACATAATCCCCAGCATCCTTCCCCCTGCCCCTCCTAGAGCACCATCCTATATAACAAATAGTATTATTTTTTTTTCTTCTGTTCATTTTCATTTTTAAAAATTGAGTTCCAAATTGAGAAGGCAAGTGATTTGATATCAGTTATACATGCAAAATCATTCACAATGTATTTCCATATTAGCCATGTTGCAAAAATAAAAGTGAAAAAAATGTATTTAAATCTGCACTCAGAGTTTGTCTGTTCTCTCTTTGGATGTAGGTAGTAGCAGTATTGCTAGGTTAAAGGGTATGTACAGTTTTATAGCCCTTTGGACATAGTTTCAAATTGTTCTCCAGAACAGTTGGACCAGTTCACAACTCCACCAACAGTACATGTATCCCTAGTTTTCCATATTCCCTCTAGCATTTTTCATTTTTCTTTTCTGTCATATTAGCCAATCTGATAGATATGTGGTAGTACCTTAGAATTGTTTTAATTTGCATTTCTCTAATCAGTAATGATTTAAAGCATTTTTTCATATGGCTATTGATAGCTTTGATTTCTTCTTCTGAAAACTGACCATTCATATCCTTTGACCGTTTATCAGTTGGGGAATGGATCACATTCATCATTTTTTGTGGAGTAAGTAATAGTCCCTGAGCCAACTGTCCTCTATAACTTTTGGGTTGTGGTCTCAGTTCATTAACTCTTCTTTAATTTTCTGATATCAGAAATAAGGAGCATACTCACCTTCAAATTCCAGATGCATTTACTGGAGACTTGAAAAAATATATACATACATACGTACATACAGACATATATTGCTCATATTGGATGGTTAACAGTATTATCCTGACAGACAGCTTCTCTTTGGAGAAGCACAAATTGATAGGACCCACATGGTGTTAGGAGCCGATCAGTATTGAAGTTAGAATTCCACCAGTGGCTTGACTGAATATTTGAATGCTAAGCACCCAAGCTAATGGAAAGTAAGTGATAAGCATTGAGTATAGGCACAAACCCTAGTTTTCCATACTCAGTACAGCTGCTCTCCCCCCAACCCCCCATCAATGCATGTGTGCTCAGAGAATGGAAATCCATTTAGATATCAGCTGAAGCTAAGATGGCAAATCTGTTTCCACAAAAGAACAAAAAAAATCATATGTTTCTTTTTAAAGGTCGATAGATTTCTGGGTGATACAACGCCTTGTATTGTTATCTTCATCTCTCCTTTATTCCCTCTCCACACAACACCTGGTGCAAAGTAGGCACTCAGAAAATTGCTAGCAGAATTGATTAGCACTACCTGCACCCCACTGATACAGAAATGGAGAACTGACTACATTGGAAATAAATTAAAATCCCTAATTAGAATCACAGAGTCAGAGAATTTTAGAGAATGTAAGGGAACTCAAAGATGATTTAGTCCAACCACTCTGTTTTTCAGAGAGGTGAGGTGACTTAATCCCAGTCCCACAGGTGTTCAGAAACACAGGCAGGAGGCGATAGCTGCATTGTAGAGCTTCCAAGGCCTCGTGTCAAAATGTCACAGGATTTCAGCAATTTAGTCCAATCTAAATCTGAAAAAAAATCACTTTTATAACAAACCCCCCAAAATGGTCATCCAGACTGCATTTGAATATTTTCATTGAATGAATAAATTAATGAAAATGTGCTTATTAAGGACTTACTGTCTGCACACTAAAAATCCAGACAGTTCTTGCCCTTGAGGTGCTTATATCCTAATTGAGGGAGAAAACACAAACAGGAGGATTCAGCTTCTGGGAGTTGGTGAGTGGGGTTGGGGTTCTGAGGGTATGAATAGGTGCTGGGCAAGCTCAGCCCTTTGCTTACCAGGAAGAGCCTATTGCTCAGCCCTTTGTTGTGGAAGAGAGTGGCAAGACTCTTTTGCTATGAGCGAATGCTGTACCAGTCACCCAAGCCTTGCCATGTCACCATCCCTAGGCTGGTTGGCCTTCCCTCCATTCATTAAGAGGAAGTCTGCTATTTCCTCATGTGACGATTGTACTTTTGGACAGTTCTGGTTGATGAGAACTTGTTCCTTACATCAAACCCAAATCTGTGTCTTTACAACTTCCCTTCATTTTTCCTGGTTCTGCCTTCTAGAAACAAGACTCTTTCTCTGCTATCTCCTTCACTCAATTCTCCAGTGGTGAAGTGGCCCTTATGCTTGCCAAGGCCTACATATATCCTTGATCCCATAGACTCCTGTCTTGTCTAACAAATGTGCCTACTATCACCTCCACCATCCTGTAATCTTTAGTGTTTGTAGCTGTATGGAAAGAGCTAGTAGAGGAGGGAGACCTTCCTTGTCTTTCAACCAGTTCTCATGTGACATGGTTTCCAGTCTCCTCTCCATTGTGGTTTTCTTGATTTACTCCAACATGTCAGTATCTTTCCTAAAATATAGATCCCAGAACTCAACACAGGACTCTAAATTTCTGATTATTTCAGAGTAGAAGGACCCTTACTTCTTGATTTGTGGACATTGGGCCACTACGATGTCCTAATAAGACATCGTACTTTGCAATCCATGGCACACTTTTGGCTCATTTTGCAGTCCACCAAAATCTTCAGATCTTTTTGATAGAACTGATTTCTAGTTCTCCCTCTCTTATCTTGTACTTGTAAAATTGATTTTTTTGAACTCAGTATGGAACTTTACATTTATCATCATTATATTTCTTCTTAGAAGACCCAGCTCAGTCTTCCACGTCTAATAGTATTTGGTGTTGTAGTGGTGGTGTCTCAGTTGTTTTCAGTCATGTCTGCCTCTTCGTGACCCCGTTTGAGGTTTTCTTGGCAAAGACATGGAGTAGTTTGCCATTTCCTTCTCCAGTTCATTTTACAAATGAGGAAACTGAGGCAAGCAAGGTTAAGTTTCTTGCCCAGGGTCACACAGCTAGTAAGTGTCTCAGGACCAGATTTGAATTCAGGAAAATGAGTCTTCCTGACTTCAGGCCAGGCACTCGATATACTACACCACCTAGCTACCTGTGACAAAATTTATCCCTTTCTAAATGCTCATACGGCAACCTTTTAATAATATATTGTAGCAGTTTGTCAGGAGCAAAGGCAAGCTTACTGGTTCATACCTTGCAGACTTCATTCACTCTCTTTCCTATTTCGAAGGTTGGGAAAATATTCATTCTTCTCAAATCCTGTGATACATTTTCCATTTTCTATTGTCTTTCAAAGACCATTGACAACAGTTTAGCAATTACATCTGCCGGGTCTTTCAGTGGTCTGGCCAGGCCTAGTGATTCAGAACTCACTTGTTTCGGGTTTCAGTTTCTTCCTAAGCATTTTTAGCTTTATTTATTTATTTATTTTAGAGCATTCTCCACGTCCGAGATAACAAAAGCAACAAGGGTCTGTCACCCATTATCATTGTCCCATTCACCTAGAGCAGTGGTCTTTCTTCTCACCACAAACATAGCACAAAATGTCCTTTTTTTGTAGTCCTTAGATTACACCACCAGCCTCAGCTCACATTCTGACACTGTTTTATGGACAATGTTGCACTTTAGTATTCATCTTGTGACCTGCCCTTGTCTTTTTTCTGAGTTGGTCATTGAGTTCTTTGTGCATTGATAATTCTCTGTTTAGACAACTACCCCTGTTCTTCATCATTGGGATTCTTCATTTTCGTGCTTTCAGAATCACTTTCATGTGAGCTTCCCATATTTCCCGAGTTTGTTTACCCTGAGAATTTTAGGCCATGGAATCCTACCTCTCCTTTCTCTGAATCTTTTGAAATAAACTCTCCCAAATCATCCTCTCTTCTATGACAAATTCTAAGGGCGTGTGGTCACTTCCCCACAAGATCCCAGTCATTTATTATTTCAGCAGCTACTCCCACCTTCACTATGAGATTCATGTCTACAATAACAGTTCCAACTTGTGGCTTCCTCTGCCTTTTGAAAAATGAAATTATCATAAACACAGGTCAGGAATATTTCAGTTATTCTGCTTTTAGCCATGAGGTCTCCAGATGTACAGATAATTGAAAGAATATGTATTACTATATCATCCTGTTGTGCCATATTTATGATCTGTTTTCTGAAATTCTCATCAATATCCTCTTTCTGTCCTCTCTGCTCTGCCGTTGGGCTGTAAATATGCCAACTTCTGTTTCACCCTGTGTGAGTCTCATGTGCTCTCCAGCATGTTTCCCCCTATGATTCCTAAATTTCTTAACCAGAGTGGATCTTTTCAATATACAATGTTA